ACACTTCTCTTAATGTGTTCTTTGGGAGTGTTAGTTGTAACAGTTTACTAAACTAACCCTGCTGCATGGAGGCTATACATTAGCCTGGCCAGCTGTCACTGTGAGTTATTTACATGCTTCAAAAATGTTCCACACTGCAGCCACCAAGAGCGGGATTAAAATAATATCTGTGTAATTCTGTAACATGCACACAGCTTAGTAATAAGAAAAACATTTATGATAAAAAATACTTACTTTTAGGGCACAAAAACAGTCTTTATGTTGAGGGAGAAAATTCATGGGTTATGTTGCTATGGGAATATGAGAACCTGACCAAAAAAGCTTTTGCTGCTGTCCAAGGAGTTTCAACTTCACAGGAGAAGGCAAAAACCGATTTTAATTTTAACATAGGTTAATGTAAAGAGATTTTATTCTAAGCAATTTTGGAGCATTTCTGTTGGTTCATTCATCATGATATCATGATATCTTTTACACAAAGGTCAGCGTGTTCAAAACACATACAAAAATAAAAATTGACCAAAACTGACAAAGCTTTTTGGGCTTTTTTTTTTGACAGCAGCAGTATTTGACCTGAATCTGTTTAACTACTTAAAAAGTCCATGTTACATTTTACTCCATGTGCTTTGCTCCCCCTTACATATTCAATATGTAAATATTTATCATTTTCTTAATATCTCATTACATTTCAGCTTGCACCTATCCTTTCCACGTAGATGTAGCGAGACAGGAAAAGTTGTGCAAGTTTGTTTTTTAAACGGACCTCAGACTATTTCATGCAAATGGACACTTATGATCCACAATGCTTCAGTTGCATCATACCTGAGGTGTCTCAGTCCCATAGCTGACCATATCACAGTATGAGAAGCAAGGGTAAAAAAACTCCAAAAATGATAAGTTGTGGAACAAAAGGATATTGTTTGGATGTAAACATTAGAGCAGAAGGCATGGTGAACAATGAGCGGGGCAGTGCTGAGAGGGAAGTGAGGCAAGCAGTGATAAGAGTCTACTGCTGCATTTGTTATTGTTAAATGCTATACTGCCTATCACAGTTTACATGAGTGGCTTTGCCTCAGTCCTTGCTTTTTTTGTAATGCAGTAATGAAACAATGCATTAGTTTCCTTGGCCTAGTCCAATGTTTCCCAACCCGGTACTCAGGGCCTCCCAGATGGACCACCCCCCTTATCCCTACATATTACGAGTTAGATTGGAGCAAAAATGTGGACCATCTGGAGAGCCCTAAGGACTGGGTTGGAAACTATTGGCCTAGACTATTTAGATGTAAAATATTTTATTGCCTTAATTTAATACTGTTTTATCTTGGTGCTAGACTTTGGACTCTATTTGCATGCAAGCCTTTACTCAGATGATAGAAGCTGGTAGATACAGAAGCACTGGTCTCGCAGCAGCAGATTCTTGCAATGTGTTTTAAAGGGCCCATATCCAAACCAAAACCTTCCTTGCATTGTTGAAATAAAAGAGTTTGATGTAGTACGTAAATTGTTTTATTCTTTTAAAAGGTACCGTTTACTCCCCAGTCCATACAGTCCATACAACATCCTATTTTGAATTAATTGTTTTGTGATGTCACAAAAATCAACGTATTTACGCCTATCCAGCCTACAGCAGATTAGCTCCACCCATACGTATTGAAGTTGTGTTGGAAATGTGGTATTTATGAGATAAGCGCCACCACAATGTTGTATTTATTCTGATTCTTTTACGAGCCCCAATTTTCCTAGTGAGGGGCATCAACAATAAAGCAATGGCAGCCACTCATAGTTGTACTGTATTGTAAACTGGTTGCATTTTAGTTATTCAGCAGCCACACCTGAACACTGCCGGCTAAAAGCATTCACACTCAAAATAAAAATATAAGCACATGTTATGTGAAGCTATTACCTGAATAAAAACACTACTCATCTCAGAAGGATCCTCTGCTCTTCATTTTGTTGCAGCTACACAAAACCTAGCTACTATCTTTAATCACAGAAAAAAAATGCAAAAATGCATCATTTCCTGCGTGGCCATCTTGTTTCTGACCAAAACCACCAGAACACAAATTACCTCGTGCTTAAGACCTCCGAAATCTTAAACAGGAACATCCGAGGAGGAGGATTTATGAATTATGTGGAGCGTTTCAACCCGGACTGCTTTTTGAACGAAACGAGGCAATCAGAGCAATCGATTTACATTTAGCTATCGGTTTTATAGACACAGTAACAAAACAGTCTGTTTAATTCAAACGGACAGAGAGGTTGGAAATGGTCATTTAAAATGAATTTAACACGACGGTTTTTGGAACTTAATCCACACAAGCGTCGTAAGTGACTTTGGGGGGAAAAATAAACAGAAGACGTGGCCCTGGCAACCTCCCCCACTCTCAAAGCAAACAACGAGTCCCTGGGCTACGGCCTAAATTTAAACATAGCGCAACTAAGGAAACGTTCAGTTCTGCAGTTAGACAGGACCGGTGTACAGAGCATTCAACACTAATGTTGAGCAACACATCAAAGATCAGGGGCTCTCCAGCCGGCGGTCACGCTAACACGGCTCAGCCGGGTTTCCATGGCGAGCAGAGCCCTCACAGTGGAAGTGACCGAAACGCTCTTCCTTCCTCTGATGGACTCACCTTCCTCATGCACCTCTTCCGGTGGGAATGTAGGCCAGATTTTAGGTAAAGGTGTAGTCTTACTCCTGTGTCCCGTAGCCGTAGGCTATTCTCTCTCTCTGTTTAACTACTCACAGAACTGCGTGTGGAGTGGAGATGTGCTGTAGGAAGCGCAGACGCTCAGGAATGTAGCCGTCGAGGCCAAGCTAGTCACTCTTAGTGGCCTCATTTAGCTCCTTCAGCTCGTTTAGCTCCAAGCTAGTCTCTCTTAGAGGCCTCCTGTAGCTCCTTTAGCTGCTTTTCTGTGTGTCTGGTGACTTGGGATTGAACCTGCCGCTTGCCTAAACAGCAGCAAGCAGCCGCACACCACTGCCGTCCCTATGGCATTCAGCTTAGCAACAAGACTTACTCATTTAAAGATGCATTTGTGTTTGGCCTTCTATCAAGATGATATGCTACTTTGGATCAGATATAGCTGGAAATAGAACAGACGTTGGGCAATAGGCCAGCGTTCATTTAGTCATTATCCCAAGTGTAGCGATTCCTAATCCCAGTCCTACTCTGCACGTTTTTAGTGTTTTCCCTCATTTAGCACAACTTTTTCAACTCAGTAACTAATTTATAAGCTACTTGTGTGTTAAAGAGTACAGAAAACACAAAAACGTACAGAGCATGGGGTCTACAGGATTGACCTTGTACACCACTGCCCTAAAAGGCAACGGGTATGAATGTAGTTAATGTGTATCTCAATCTTTTTTTCTTTTTTTTCTCAGTTTCTAGCTTTCTGCATAATTTGAGCTCAGCAGCTGTCTTTTACATAGTGTAAAAATTTCACAATGATGGGACCTATAAAAATGCTCCAAAATTGTTTTGAATAAAGATTAGTTACATAAACTTACATTGAAGGTTAAGAAAGTTTCTACTCTGTGCTGTAAAGTGACAATTTTGGAGATGCTTGTTACATATTGTTGCTTTCCAAAGAAAACATTTTGTCTCATGGGTGAAAGCAGGCTGTCAGAATTAATCAGTTTGGGACTGAAAAATCAGAATAAATAATCAAAGACCAAATCAAAATGTGATCAAATCAACTGGTGCATTAAGAAACAAGAATACACGGATGAACTTAGTAAATTGGCAGATCTCAGACAATGACAGCAGTGGATGGTCAAATAATACTTAAAACAATGAAAGGAAACACACACACAAACAAAACTGTTGAACAGACCAAGAATCATGTCCAGATTATAAGTATAGCTGTGTCAAAGACTACCCTAAAGAAAATAATACACCTGCATGACCTCAGAGGGTTTTAACTGAGGTAAGCCTCAAGAATAGCATCAAGAACAGTATGCTGAGCTACAATTATAGTATTTAGTACATGAAATGTTGTTGTTTGAGATGAAGTCTAATGGACAGATGGCCTGAAGATTAGAGAAAAGCAGGTAACTGCTTATGATCCAAATCTAGCCAAATACCTCAAAATGCAATGAATGGTACTTAACCTATGACCATGACCCAAACATACTGTTATTAAGGAGTTTTTCAGGGACCAAATTGGAATTGTCCTGGCTGGTCAAGTCCGTCTCCAGACCTGAACCCAACTGGGCATTTATTACACTAGCAGGAACAGAAATGGCTGGGAAATCATTGCCAGGAAACTGCTGGTGTCTGTGGGTCACTGATTGCAAAGGATTTGCAACAAAGTACTAGTCATGACTATTTTATTTAAGATTCTGTTCATTTGTCCGATTACTTATATTCCCTAAAATAGGAACACTATGTATGAAAAGATTCAGCCTTAGGTTAAAGCTCAAATGTACAGTAACTGTTTTGTTTAAAATCTTAAGTATTAAAATGCAGAAAAAGAAAAATACAACAAAATGTCGGCCACAGACTGTTCAGTTTCCTGCCGACCACACAGTGTATGTGTATAGTTTGCACTCAGTGTGATCTTTTTATATTCTGGCTGAGAAAAAGCAAAGCCTGTGTCAGATCAAAAGCAGAGCATGGCCTTGTATAAACAGTGGAAAGCCGCAGTACCTGATAGAGAGGAGACGGGTAAACAGTGTGATGGTTCATACCTTATTTGATTTTCCACGAGGCTCACAGTTGAGTGTTTCCTTTCATTGTCTTTCCTCCACAATTCTGTTTAAACTGTGAATTTCTCCGACATGACAGGTAATTTAATGTTATTCATTATGGTGTCTGGCTGTTTAGATGCCGTGATAATCCATTAGTTAAACTGGTGCGGTTTTATGATCTTTAAAAAGTCACAGAACGTCAATTTCTAAAACTGTTTTTTTTTTTTTAGTTTAAATTTAGACACGTTTAATACATTTGTGCATTAACAGATGAACTCAGTCCCTTTCTTCTCCTCACTGTTTATCTTAGAAATGAAAGCCAAGAATCCGTGGCGAAGGCCGTGGATCATCTGCATCGGTGTCTTTTTCGCCGCTGTAATCATCACAATGGTGGCCGTTGCAGTAGTACAGAACAAACCTCTACACCAGAAGTACAAGGTAATGGGTTCTTCAGTTCCTTAGTAAATACCATGGTATATAGAACTAAGAGACCTCAAAAAAGATCTTTCACTGCTTAGATTCTTTTAATGTGTGCCATGCTAAGTATACTACATTTGCCTCCACAAGGCTTTGATGGTCAGTTATAATAATCTCTATTACATACATTTTTATTAGTATTATTAGGCATATTATTATTATCATGTATAATTTCCATGATGGAGAAACTGTCCTATATAGTTCTCTAAAGAAGCTTTTAGACATGGTCTTATATAATACCAATTGTTATTGTTATAATTCATAGAACCTATTTTGGTCGTATATCAAAACCTTTTCTAGAAGTGTTTGAGTACAACCATAAAGGGCTAAAAATGGTAATGTTTCCGGGAGACACAATGATGGGGCTCTCTAGATGTCTTTAATGTAGGATTACTCATTTATTGGATTGCCAAATTCTTATTTGTCAGTATAATAAACAAACAATTCACAGAACCAGCTGAACTGTAAATATATGTGCTAAGAGCATTCCATTTATTTTAGCATGTTTACATGGAAATTATGATTTTTCTGCACAATTAAGTCATGGAGATGTAAGCATAGCTAAAAATGGTCTGATATGTAATGGTGTATTGTAGAGAAACTTACCTACTTGCTGAGTTCTTTAAAGTGGTGATGATAGGAGGGGGTCATCAGGTCTACAATGCAAATATAGAATTGTAAATATTTTCATTTATGATCCAAAATGACCGGTGAAATTACACTGTGCTCTGAGTTTCTGTATTTAATGTTATGGTAGCATGATGATGCTAAAATAGTGGCAAATCTGAAAAAATATGTCTTCTTTGGGGACTGTGTTGCCTTACAATGCCCTGCATGTGCGCTTCCGCCATAAATATATTTTAGAAATAATCAACTGCAAGGTTGATTGGAACCATTAAACGCTTCAGACATCTAGTTCCTATCACAACCACTGTGAACAGTTCTGACTTTGCAAGTTTCTATACAAAAGAGCATTTTACATTACTTTGTTTAGAGGTAATTTTGCAGGTAGAATCCCTCTTTAAACTTATTAATGATGTAATGTAACTTATCAGCAGTAACCATCCACAGCTGAAAACATTTTGGTTACAAATACTTTTCTGATTTAAAAATCTGTAGTTTCTTCAAAAATACCTTTTCTCGTTTGCTGACAAGTATAAAAAAACATGATTTGTAGTAGTCAGAACATACCGTGCTGATGCTTATATGGGTGCTACTGCTAAGATTGTACAATTGTCTACTGAGAAAATACCACAGTTTCCATTTTTTGGATGATGTGTTATGATGAGCTCTTGTTGACTTTGGTTTTTAATCATACTGACACTTTATTAACATGTGCATAGCAATAAAATTTCTAAATGTGCCCAGAAATAAATGTTTACAAGCCTGATTTATGGAGAGTGGTTATAGGCCAAACAATAAGTTAATTAAGAAAAATTGCTGTGACAAGTTTAGACTGTTCTCATGCATCATGCAAGCTTGGATGTGCTCTGCACTGTCATAGATGCTCTTTTTCAGTGCTTTGTGTCTGTTCTTTGCTTTGCAGTATGGGATAGTTCTGGATGCAGGCTCCTCCCATACATCTGTCTATATCTACCAGTGGCCAGCAGAAAAAGAAAACAACACTGGAATGGTTCAGCAGAAGCATGCCTGCAATGTGAAAGGTACATCAGAACAATTGCTTTAAATATACTGTTTAACAGCATAGTCAACCATATTCATCAGAAAGGCTGCTTTAAATTCTAAACCTACACAGATTTCACCACGTGACTGCAATTATGCATGCCTCGAGCAAGCTGAGCTTTGAAAACTATATGCTTTAGGCTCTATTACTGCAACAAGTTTTGGCATAAAACTCATTAGAATGTTGCAGCTGTCTGTTACTCAGTAAGAGCTTCTGTACTTTTTTTTTAAAGTAAATAACTCTCCTTCGCACTTGATGTGGTTTCTTAACAGGCAAGGGCATCTCCAGTTATTCAGCTGAACCAAAGAAGGCTGGTGAGTCTCTGAAGGAATGCATGGATGAAGCCAGGAATACCATACCTGACCACAGGCACCATGAGACACCAGTGTACCTCGGAGCCACAGCAGGCATGAGACTGCTCAAGTAAATAATATTTAATATCATTAGAAGATGTAGAGAAAGTCATTATGTGGGATATACAGAAAATTTAACACATATTACTTCACTGAAAGAAAGATGCTAATCATTTATTATATTTGACTACATTTAACAAATAATACAGTATTCATTACTGTTTACTGACCTATTATTACCAACTATTGCAACTACCAACTACCAAATATTTTAGCCATAAGAAATTTGACAGTGGTATCATTTTTGTTGACTCCAGAACATTTTGTTTGAAATTAAACATTGACTATGAGGTTAAAGTCCAGAATGTCGGTCTTAATTCCATGGTATTCACCACTAGGTTGGGTGAAAAGAATATAACTGGAAAACTGGTTCTTAGTCTGCTATGTGTTGTTGAGTCATTAAGTCAAGCAGAAAAGCTCTACCAAAATACTTGTAATTGCTTTTAGTTGTGTAGTTGTGCATTTGCAAATGGAGTCTGTCAAGGAGCCAAGAACAATCAGTGTGAGTAAAGCACATCATCACAATGCGCAAAATCAGCATAAATTGATCAATATTGCCAAAATTAAGTGCATCGAAACGTTGCTTAAAGAAGCAACAACGCACTATTTAGATGCTTAGTAATAACAAACAATCTAGCAGATAACCAGTATTAAACATAATTTGTAGTCCTCTGACTTGAGAGCACTATAGCTTTGATTCCTACATGGTTCGCCCAATATAGACCTATATACCCTTGATAACACCCTGCGTTTAAGCTTTTTAGGCTCTTCCATTTGCTGGAGTGTAAAAACTACAACGTTTGTGTCATTGTCTAATTCTTTACTGCACTGTAGTGAATATCTATAGATAACAGAATGTTTGTTAAGGATGGAGAATGACGCTGCCTCAGAAAAGGTACTGGAGTCTGTGGAGCGATTCCTGCAAACCTACCCATTTTCCTATCAGGGAGCTCGAATTATAACTGGCCAAGAAGAGGGAGCTTTTGGCTGGATCACTGTCAACTACCTGAGTGATTATTTAAGAAAGGTACTTAAGAAGTCCATTCATCTAGTCTTTTGCTCCCAGATTAACAAGATGGACCATAACATACAACACATAACATTTGATTACTTATATTTAGTGATGCACCAAAATGAAAACCAAAACTGAAAATGAAGACATACGTGGCTGAAAACAGAAACAACAACAAAAAAAATCTTTTTTTTTTTTTGTTTGTTTTCTTGTTGAACTTTAAGTTGTAATTAAGTTTAATTTATTATTTAGAATGAAGTTACTAAACAAAAACTACAAGATAATAAAGAAAACACATTTTCATTATTGATCAAATCTGCTTTTAATAAGACAAAACTGAGCTGACAATTAAAAAAAATATTATTACAGTATATAGGCTACAGAATGTGCCAGTGAAATCCAGCGTCCTCAAAAACAGAATGGTTGATCATCCAAGACAGTTACTTTTTTAGTTATACTTTGCACTTTGGCACTGTTGTTTGTGAAATTTGTAATTATTTCAAAACCTGAGGCTTTTTTCTCAGCCAAAAAAACAAAAGTGCCTCTTTTAACCATTTTTAAGATGTTTTGGTGGCCAGAATTTTGGTGCATCTCTACTTATGTTTTTTTTTAAAACCATCTTCCTTAATCCAGTTGAACAAGATGAACCACCAGATTAAATGATTATTAGTTATTATGTTTACTTGGCCATCTTTATAAGAATGGTTTACTGAAAAACGAAATTTACAAAATTTTCTACTAACCTCAAATGTAGTCAAGCTAAGACTTTTCTGGAGTTAGTAGAAAATTGTATAAGTTAGATTTTTTACTTAATCATTCCTTTAAAAAGTATATTTAGATTGGTAGCTTGGGATATTAATGGTAATAAAGTTTGTGTGTATGTGTTTAAATGCAGGCTTCAGGAACTCTAGGAGCTCTTGACTTGGGTGGAGCCTCTACTCAGATCACTTTTGTGTCTGGACAGAATCTGGAGTCTCCAGACAATTCTATTGATTTTAGGCTTTATGGAAACGATTACCAACTATACACCCACAGTTTCCTCTGCTATGGAAAGGATCAGGTCCTTAAGCTTTCTTTGGCAAACGAAATACGATCAACATATCAAAAATTGGTAAGATATTTGAGAAAAATGAAGAGCATTTTACATTTAGCTCATGCCAGGCAAGTGCATCTTATATTTCTCTCTCTATATCTTTTCTTTTTTAAGACAGGTAACATTACTCTGAAGGACCCTTGTTTCCATGAAGGCTACAAAGCTCCCAAAAACTTTGAGAATGTCTTTAACAGCCCTTGTGTAGAAGGCTTGAGTTTGACCCAGAAAGACTTCATGCATGTGGGTCTTGGGAATGGAACAGCATGTCGTGCAGCAGTCAGAAAAGTGTTTAATGACAGTCACTGTACTCATTCAACCTGCTCCTTCAATGGTGTCTTCCAGCCCCCTGTGGATGGGAAGTTTGGGGTAAGGCAATGCAATATTGGAAAAAAATGTAAAATACATACAGTTTTGTATAATATCTGTGGAATGCATAGAGAAATACATTAATATGACATAGCTGACTTTCACTGTTTGTCTTTAGGCATTTTCTGCTTTCTACTTTGTGATGAACTTTTTGAACCTGACCAGTTACTCTTTAGATGAGGCTAAAGAACAGCTGGCAAGATACTGTGCCACACCATGGAGCATTGTAAGAATTTTCTACTCACTTAAAAAAAATATGAGCCTGTTTTGATTTATTTTGAACTGAAGCTTCATATTGAACTTGCAGATAAAGCAAAACCACCCTGACGTGAAGGAAAAGTATCTTTCCGAATACTGCTTCTCAGGTACCTACATTTTGACTTTGCTGGAAGATGGATACAACTTTACTTCTGAGAACTGGAAAGACATCGAATTTATCAAGCAGGTAAGCACAGCTTATTGATCATAATGATTATTGATCTGTTTGATGAATAATCCCATTTGAATACTTTGAACTCAAATACTTTACAACAGTGTGTCCTGGCAACATAGTCTGATAGGTTGAAAAGGTTGATATGGTTGAAAAGCATTCTGCTTGTGTTATGTCTGATGATAGCTGGTTGCTAAGTAACAACACTGGTTACTTTAAAGGGAACTTACACTGATTTTTCAAAATCACTATGATGTAAACAAAGTCTTTCTGAGTAGTTTGATGTGAAGTGGTTCATTGTAGAAAAACGTACCAAATTGAATTTTTGAACTAGGGGTTACCATGTTGGCAATGCAAATATAGGCGATGTATTTACTATCCAAAATGACCAGTCAGCCTACTACACAAGTTTTTATATATAATGTTGATAATACTCAAAAAAAGAAAAAGGTTATTTGAGTACTGCTTTGCAACACTCTGCATGTAGCTCTCTGCCATATTTAAATGGCCAAAAGTTTATCTCAAAACTATCTGAAAACAGTGTCTCACGAATCAGGCAGCATATTCATAACTATTTTGTGTAAAACTTTCTGTAAGGTAGCTTTGAGGCATTAAGCGCTTTGAACGTCTGGTTCCTATCACTACCATTGTCAACAATTCTAAATCAGTAAGTTTCTCTAGAACTATGCATTTCACATCAGAACAATGATTTAATTATACAAAATTTTGAAGTAAAAAGTAGCAAATTTTAAAAATATTTGAAACATTGTTTGGAGTTTCTTTGCTTTACCTTATTTTTTACATTGTAAAACTGTTGTAACACTCATTGTAACACTTACATTGTACCACTCAAGGTCTTCTGTTTTTGTGCATAACATCACAGTTGAAACAATAACACACTCCCTCTCATGTTCTATTGCTTAAATGTCTTGTTTTTAGCTGTTCAAGTGTGGCTTGCAGTATAACTCCCTGTGTCTCTGCAGATCGGGGACAGTGATGCTGGCTGGACGCTGGGTTACATGCTCAACCTGACAAACATGATCCCTGCAGAAGCTCCGGACACTCCACCCCTGCCCTACGGAGGCTATGTCACACTCATGGTCTTCCTCTCCTTGATGATACTTGTCCTTGGCTTACTTGCCTACAAATGCTTCCGCCGACCAACTGGCTCAGCCCAGAAAGAAATCATTTAGATTTGAACAGGCTACTCTGCTGTCCATCCTTGTGGAACATTTGTTTCTGAAGAACGAAGCCTACATTTTAAAAATAACCAGTTCAAAGGAAGAGTCTTACATTTCAGAAAAGAGACTTTATACCTCATCTGAAGGAAGCACGGGCTGCATATATTTGGAATATATTTGGGAGCCTGCTTGATGCGAGAGACATTGGAGCACATACAGTATCCTCATACAACTGGATTGTTGTATACCCATTTCTTTGGTGTTTGTTAGGACAAAATTTTAAAGCTGCCTCCAAAACATCTCAGGAGTAAGTGGAGAGAAGATTGTAAATTTCTCCTAAAAGGGAAAGTGCAGTGATGTATATTGTGTGCCTTTGATCCTTACGCATAGCAAAATATTTTTAGCAATAGAACTATCTGACAGGATAAAGCCAGTTAATGTAGCACTGCGACTGTGATTTCTGTAGGCAAAGCCCATCATTCAGAGTAGTTGTCTGTCTTGCATCATTAAGGAAGTTTCAGCAGTGACACTCCATTTTTAAAACTAAAATATGAGGAGGCACAATGTTACATTTCAGTCCAAAAAACAGATTGTTTTAGAGTTCTTTTGTAATATCGCGCCATGATGTATGTTTATACTGCCTGATTTTTGTGACACATCTGTTTAAAGTTGCTTTGTACCTGTCTGTGTTACTTCAGTAACATACATGTGAAACTGTTTTTTTTATATTTAAATAATAAAGTGATCAGTGAGTTTATTTTGGCCTTACTTATGGGCTCTATCACTGATTTATCAGTCTACTCAGGCTTTAGCTGGAACTCCAGTGTTTGTAAAGAAGCTGTTTTCTGTGCTCTTCTTCAAACTATGTTTTTACATGCTGAGCGTTTATTATAAAATAATAACCAAGCACTGCTTGGTTATTATTGGTTACCAAGGATTCTACCTTTACAAAATATAACTTGGACTGGATACAGATTGCAGTGGCGTGTATTACATCCCAATCTTGCTTATGAGTGTCTGTTATATTGAGGAAATTGCCTTATATGTGTGCAATACATGCATCGTATAGATTTTCTCCAAAACAGTAAGTGTTCTTGAGTTCTTTATTTTAGGTATTCAGCATGTTTAAGTACAACTGTCATTCCTTACAAAGGTTTACAGTAAGCCACAATTCCACAGGAATATAGTATAAATGTATTGCCACTGTTACTGAAATATATAATCTAATATTGATTTGATAAACCCATGATTTTACAGGATTACATAAAAGCCCAGAAAAATGACACTATAGTGATTATATAGCATATTACAAGAGCAGGACTGCGAAGGCTGTGGCAATGTATTGAAATTGAAGAATAATATTCAGCAAATCCTTATATGCATTCAGTACACAAGTAGCATATATTCACCTACATAAGGCATCATAATGCAATATAGAATAGAACTGCAGCAGGTGCAGAAATACTCTCTACCTATACTACCTATGACTCTCACTTTCAAATATGAAAGATGCTACATTATACAGTCTGGTGTTTCATGTCTGAAAAGAATCTTACAAAAATTCACTCTAAAACAGCCCACCCTGAATTAATTCAGCATTCATCTTATTCTTTATATTTCCACTGGAAGACTTAAAACCATTATTCTATCATTAGTATTGCATAGTTCTCTCTTTTCAGATTGCAACAGTGTCTTAAACTCAGCAAAAGGAAAATAAAGAGTTAGCCACAATAAAAGTGTGCGCCTTATTTTCCATGTGGATTCTGTTACTGCAATGTAATTGCTTAGCAACCCCCATTCCTCGGAGGCAGATAAAGAATGGGCTGGAATGCAGTATTGATGTTGTTATATCAAAGAAACTACAGATTAGTGTGAAAGAGCTGGTTTGGTATTGCAGTTTCTGGCCTGGCTGGGTCGGATGTGCATTGTTTCGGCATTCGTATCTCTTGTGCCCTCTTGTGGCTTGTCCCTGTTGTTCAGGATTGTGTGCAGCTGCAGCAGACATTGGTCCCAGTCCTCTGGCAGCAGCAGCAGCAGGAAGCCCAGACAGATGATGGACACTGCGATGATTCGGACACTATTGAACTGGATCTCACACATGTAGCGGTCTATTACTGAAAAGAAGGGGAGGGGGTGCAGTTTCTATTAGGCAAAATATACAAACTAGACTGCAGCGGACAAGTAATGCCTTCTAAAGAAACTGACCATTGATGAAGGACTAGAGAATGGCTAACACAACTACACAAAATCTTACTTAGTTCAAAGGGGGAATATGGATAATGGATAATAGTATTCAATTACATAGTATAGTAACGAAAGACAACTACTTAAGTATTTTCCACGCCTGCTCATAGACTGGCCAATGAGTGTACACAAAATTTAATAAGAACACAAAGCAACATGAGGGCGAAGCACTGCTCTTATGAAAGCTATTTGACTGCTAATGGGGCCCCCTGGTGGAGAATCTTCAGCCTGCTAAATGTGAGTGTGTGAGTTACAAACCAGTTTCATGAGGTGCTATTCATCTAAAACACCAGTAACAACACTAGGCCTGATACACACTTACCAGCACCCCAAGCACTCACATGCAGATAGAATGCTTGTGTTGCTGCTGTGCTCATGCAAATAATTCACTAGCCAAAGAGTTTTAGTTGATCGACTGGCGACTCAGTGTAAGATGTCCATGCAGTCCAGGTGTGAAGGCAACTTACCTGCATTCACAGGTACACTCAGGACAACACCCAAAGAAATCAATGTAGGAAGTGTTATCAACACGCCAAAGTTTAACAGGAAGTTGAACACTGGGAAAAAATAAAAGTAAAAGGGTACAATGTGATTAAATTCTAATATTTGCATAAACAATAAACCAACAATATTACAAACCCAATTCTAAAAAAATCGGACAGAAGGTAAAATGCACAGAAAGCAGCGATTTTTTGTGACCTTTCACAGGTATTTAATTGAAAGCAGCACAAAGAAGAGATCTTTTTACCTTATCTTAACTTTACTGAAAACTTTTGTAACTCCAACTTTGATGCCTGCAACACATCCCCAATTAGGACAGGGGCAATATAAGATTGGGAAGCTTGTGGAATGACATTCTCCACCTTGCACAAAATTGCAAGAGCAACATTTTTTCAATGCAAGATCTCGAGGAATTTAGGGATTTCACCATCTACAGTCAATGATTCAGAGAGTCCGGAGAAATGTATGTGCACAAATGCCAAGACCAAAAACCAGTATTGAATGACCATGACCTTTGATTCCTCAGGTGGCTCTGCATTATAAACCTACAGGCTTCTGTAATAAATATGACCACATGGACTCAGGAATACTTTGGAAAGCCCTTGTCAGTAAACCCAGTTTGCTGCTGGATCTATAAATGCAAGTTAAGACTGTACTATGCAAAGTGGAAGCCATATATCAACAACATCCAGAATTGATGTTGACTTCTCTGGGCTCCAGCTCATCTGCAATGGACTGACACCAAGTTGAAATGTGTCCTGTGGTCTGACATATCCATCTTTTAAATTGTTTTTGGAAATAATGGACATAATTTAATTCATGTGTGATTGAAAATTAAGGGTGTCCTTACCCAGCAGAAGTGCAGCCATTCCACACAGACTGAGCCAGGGTATGTCTCCAGGAGAGCCAACATCCTCTGCCCCCGTGAGAAGAAGTATGAGTGGAACAATGCTGACGAAGAGCATGTTGGCACCTCCAAGGACAGTCAGGTACAACGCTGCCTCACCTAGCTTGGCACTACCCAAAACTAGCTTAAACAGGATCTGCAGAAAGACAGGAGCATGCTCATAAATCACCCTTCAGTCATGCTCAGAAAGCAATGCAGCACTTTAGTGCCCAGTTTGGGGGCTTGATGGTATAATGTTGCATAAAACTCATTCATATTTGCTTACCTTGTACACGGCTGCTGTGGATGCAGATCCAACCACCAGTGAAATTCCAATTACAGAGTGGCTATGGAAACCATCCGCATAGGTTATCATTACTATGCCTGCAATGGCTAAAATGGCTGCAACAATCTGCATGCAGAGAGGAAACAGAAAGGGTTTTCTTTAGCTTTAAGAAAAGTCTGACAGGCATTCTACAGATGTTAAAAGAGCAGCGTTTTTCAGCCTAATGTCTATCTGCCACATCTGGAGTATGGTCAATTACCACAGACAATAGTTTTCCTGAACTTTAGTCTGAACAGAAAACACATTGACTAGACATAATTACAGTAGTCAGATACCAGTCAAAACAACAATCAGGAAACATTTATGTAATGGAAATCTGCACAAAAGACTCAACAACTAAATAAATATATATATATATTTATATTTAGTGTGTCCACATTTTGCCTTTATTACAGTCATTTTTTTTCAGGAGATATGTTTTCAATTTTTTTAAAGAAATCTGCAGGGATATTTTTCCACATGTCCAAAGTTCAGTCTTAGAAGCCGATTGCATTTTCTTCTTCCAAACATGTTCAATAATGTTGAGGTCTGGACTCTGGGGTGGTCAGTCCAATGTTCTGAGAAAACCAGCAGCTTCTTTGATTTGCACATTTTCTTCTTTTTTGTCTGCTTTCTTTTATCAGTAATGGCTTCTTTACAGTACACATCCTTTCACATTCAGTGTTGAGTTGTCGTCTCACAGTGGAAGGATGGACAGAAACACCTGTGAATTTTTTCAGATCTGAAGCAACAGTGGAGCTTGATTGTTCCTTGTTAGGAATCACATTTTCTTTGTATCGTTTAACAGTTCTTTGGAAACTCTTGCTGTTCACTTATTTTTCTTTGACTTTCCCCTTCTTTATGAAAGTGAATTATCTTGTATGTTATCTCCTCAGAAATATCTCCTAAGGAATGATCAACATGTACTTACTGGCTATTTTTACTTGTATTAATGGTTGTTTTAATGTGGATAAATGAAGGGTAGTCTCTGAATTTTGCACAGTACTAATTAATTGAAGCCAATGCGCAGATACTTTATAAGAGTGTTTATAAGGGTGCTTCAAGTCCAGCACCTGCCAATTAGCTTCTAATATTTGTGTGTTTTGAGGCAACTTGTTTTCTGTTCTTTAGTAAGTATAGGGGGTATACATCATAATTATTGTTTGTGGTAATTGACTGTACATTACAGATGAAGATTAGATGAAAACTATGGAATTTTATTTTAAATCAGAGTGGAGAAAAGCACCACCAATCCACACCATCACTTTGTTTAGTATCTGCTCAATATGAAATCCCACTGGCGACTGTCGTCACAGTGTGACTCTCACCCTGATGCCCATGAAGCGGTCACGCAACACGATCCAGGAGATGAGGAAGATGAAGGCGCGAGTACAGCAGAAAAGAGCACAGGCGTCTGTGGGGGGGATCCTGCGCAGGCCCTGCAGGTATAGGTAGCTTGTGAGGATCCACAGCACTCCAAATGGAGCCACCCGTGACAGCAACGTCCTCACCGATAGCCCATCATCTCCCAGGAACTGACAGCACTCCCTGCATTTATGCCCAGATAAACACTGATCATCACTCAGCACAAACCGACCTAACTTCACACTGTGAGCACAGCATCAGGTTTAAAGGGGAATTCAACTGATTTTCAAAATTTCTGCATAACCAAATCATTAAGGTCATTAAAGAAAGTTATGCAGAGCGGTTTTATGTGAAACATCCCGCTCTGGAGATCTGACCAAGTCAGAATTGTTCCACAGCGCTAGTGATAGGAACCAGACATCTGAAGCGTTTAATTCCTCTAAAGCTACCTCACAGAAAACTGTTTCATTAAATGGTTACAAATGTGCTGCCTGATGCCTGAAACATTGTTTTACAATAGTTTTAGAGAAGAGTTCTGCCCAAAACACATTGTTTTAATCCATTCAAAGGAAAGAGGTACATGCAAGGTGTTGTAAGGCAAAATTGTCCATTGCAATGTTACAACACCTGGTTCCTATCACTACCATTGCAAAAAAATCCAAGCCTGTTCTGCTTCTCTGTAATATACCATTGCACATCAAATCATTCTGAATTACTTTGTTTACATCTCAACAACTGAGTTATAGAGAAATTTTGAAAAAACAGTGCAATTACCCTTCAAATCCTTAACTCTATAATGCTTTATTTACATAATAGCAGTAAACAGTTGACAGCAAACCGGATAGTCCATTGTTTTCAATGGAGCAGCAGTGGAAATTTCTGCCTCCGCCAGCGGCAACGGCAGGGGTCAGCGGTACTTTCCGTCAAGAGGTCCGCCAACTTTTGCCGTCAACCATGGATGTGGACTACACCTAAATGCCAAACATCTCATGTCCAGTATTATACAACAACAAAAACTAACTAAATAAAAGGGCTCAGTGTCCTTCCTTTTTCCAACTGAAATAAATAATCAGCACTGCTTGTCCTCTCCTCTGATAGCCAAACATTTTTACCCATGGTGCTGTCGCCATGCCAATGTACTGCTATGAGGCACAGAACAGTTTTTCAACGCCAACATGTAAATGCCACTATTTGACTTCAACTACCCTGAGGAACTACATACTTAGCATATTAGTTTGCTAGTATTTACTGTGTAATGTACGGTAATTACTGCAGAATAAGCTTTAAGATTAATAGCTGAACAATAAGCTTAGAGTTTAAGGGGTTAAATTGGCAGTTAGCAAAAAATCTAATTTGCACAATTTTTCCTTTACCCTAAATGTAGCAAAAATATGGTCAAATTTGATCTCCAAATTTATCTGTATAATTGGCTACATTCATCTATACAAATAATAAAAGTGTACCACTGAACTACAAACAGTAGTAGCAGCTATCACTTTGCCTATGTTTATAGATAACAGTATGTCATACATTGCCTGAAACCACAAGACTATTTGTGACTCAGGGCCTGTTTCTAGCTATTTGTGGTATAAACAGTTGCTTAATGTCTCTGAGCCACCAGATGTCCCTAGCAAGCATGTAGTATTTAGTTTATTTATGTTACATATACAACTTATATGCTGTTTATAGTTATTTATTGTTTTACTGTCTTTACTATTTACCAGTTTTCTTTTTCTTTTAAAAAATGGATGAAGTGATAAGGGCCCCCAAAGAGGATGTTGCTTAGGGCCCTCAAATCTATACAAATGCCTTTGTTGAGATTACTTAACAATGAGACATGGTCTGAGGCAAGGGTGTAATGATTAAAGCCTGTAGTTTGCACAGTGCTAATGGGTGAATAAGCTTCCACTACTTGTTAACTGCATTAGCCTCCTAGTTCCAGTACAAAACTAAAGAAACAAACTTTGGGCACCGAGAACATCTTGGCTGATTGACCACATTTGGAGAAAGCAGAAAATTGGTAAAATTTGAATTTTTGCTGAACTTCCACTTCAATAATGATGAAATTGTCTACCTAATGAAAAAAGTCTGAAAAAAAAACTCTGCCTACTTTAAGTCTAACTTCAAACCTCTGAAACCTTTCTGATTTCTGCTGAGCTGTCAGAAAGAACTAAAGAACTGCAGGCAGGCCCATGGGAGCCAGTTAAGGAAATCAGGAAAAGGTCAGAGTTTCTGCCTTTACAGTTCAGGTAATCAGAACCACAGAATCCACTTAATCAGCCTTTCCAAAGGTCAGCCTGAGTAAGTTGATTCTCCAGGAAGGTCTTTCACCTGAAGCGCTGTCGAGGGGTCTGCCGGTCCTTACTGCAGCACAGGTGGCCCAGGTAGTAGAGGGGGAATATGATGCAGTTCCAGGAAGTGGCGAACCAGGTGAGTGTGAAGGGAACGTTGAGCTGTCTAACTGTGAGCTTGGCCAGCTGGGTGGAGCCTGACCAGGACGAGCAGATGCAGAGAACGGTGATGACCCCCCAGAGCGCCCGCCGCAGGTGGACTGCAGTCACACGCAGACAGCAGCGCATTCTCTGCCTACTGCTCATGCCCTCTGACTTCACCATGCCCGCTCCAGCATGGCCATCAGCCTTCACTTCCACCTTCTCTCTGCTCGACTGCTCCATTGCTGTAAACACGGTCACAACATACACTGAAAGGAGTATTTAGCTATAGCAAAATTGCTATACACTGAGCTACTAGTTTATTAGGTATGTTTTCTGATTTTTGTTTTCCTGAATGAAAAACTTTATATTTATTGGCCATCTTGACTGGAAATTAAATAAATGAAGGGTGGCCTCTGACTTTTGTACAGTACCTATACCTGTACTGACATTCATTGACCATGTTGTCAGGTACACCTACCATATCACTGCTGTCAGAAGAAAACCTTGTATCTCTATTTTTGTCGTTTTCAGTTTTTGACATAATTTAAAAATGCCTGTTGGCCTTTACATTGTGTGTGAATTTCATGAAGAATGGACCGAAAGAAACAACCCAAAAATACTTGAAAAAAAGGCTGGTTTCATTGACTTACATTAAAAGTAAAGTAGGTTTTTTCCTTTTCCTGTAAAGTTACCATTTTGGAGATACGAGGTTTTCTTCCGACAACAGTGATATGCACAATGCAGGTGTACAATATCCTATCTGTTGCTGCACATTCATCAGCAGGACCCTATCTTGTCCATCAATGGAAAGAGACCACCATAGGACCACTGCAGACTAAATATTATTTGGGTTGTGGACCATTTTTAGTGCAGCAGATGTGCCAATATGGTAGTGACATGGTTATGTGTGTAAAGCTCAGGGTTCAAATTGGCAGAAAGTGTTGTCCTGGACAAAAGCAGCTCTATTGAGAGAGACAAAATTGAACTTAGAGGGTCCAGTGTTATATCCTTGAATATAATTATGCAAGACAACTAATGTGTTTTTGATCACAAAGATTCATTTTAGGCTATTCAAGAACATACAATGGGTAACATTCACAGTAGCCTACTGCATCATGCGTTAATAATAAGATGTGTATGTTTTTGTTCAGCAAATTGAATCATAATTCAATTTTACAACAAACCTGCCTACTAAAGACTAATTAATTGTAAATTTGATCCTAAATATTTTATCCTAAATTAAATATTTTAATCCATTAACTGAGAAAATATTCCCTCTTAGACCTACTTGCTGTGTCTTCTCATCAGCACGTGTACAAAGCATTCATATTAATACAGGCAGGCACCCTACACTATACCAATATAGTATAGTGTACCAAGTCCATGGGCAAGACTCCTAACACTACCTTCTCCTACCTCTGTAAGTTGATCAAAAAGTCGCTGTGGATAAGAGCGTCTGCCAAATGCCATAAATGTAAATGTAAAACCTACAGGGGTAAACCTCACAAAAATACATTGTGAAGATAGCATTCACCAATACCTCTGCCACAATTTGAACCCTGGTTCCGTTAGTAGGAATGTATACACTACATGTAGGGTTTTATACACCTCAGTGTCACTGCTGGGTTGAGAATAGTCTGCTGGCCAAAAGTATCAATTTCTGTGGTTAGTTTCTGTGGTCAGAGGACTAGAAGATGTTTACACAAACCACACATGGAAAAGCTATAGTCTCTAACTGTACACCTACATGGCACACTAATAAGACTGGTGGACAGTATCTCATGGATACACTTGTACCATATTAGTGCCTCTGTTTTGCTGAGAATGGTCCACCAAATTATAGGAGCTCGGTGGTGGTCCAATGGTGGTCCCTTTAAATTAATGAACGGGCTAAAGGATGCCTGACAATTTGTGCAGGAACAGATGGCCTACAGTCAGTAACTGGATACCTTCAAAATGTGCCACTATGGTAGTTGTTTTTGCTAAAATGGCCAAAGAATGTAGGTACAAGGTGTTTGTATATAACAAAAATGACGACACAGTGTACATTGTCATGTCTGTCCTTCCTGAGCTAAAAGTGAGGAAGTACCCTTGTGTAATTTACCTTGGAGAGCTTATAGCTTACAGCTTATACTTCAAGTGAGATAGTATAATATCCCTACCTGCAACATCTGCTACAGGATTTAATATTAACATATTGAAGCAAATTTAAATGCAGTGCTGGCAGTTGAGTTGAGAATACCTTTATGTGCTCAATGAAAACATTTAACAACAATAAATGTCATTATTAAACCTGACTAATCAAGTTACTCAAAAGACTTTTCTAATAAAAACATCTTCATTTGTCATTTGTGCAGCCAAACTGAATGAACTCAAAAAAGCAAAGACTATGACTTTCCATAAACCATCAGAGTAAACTCCAGTAATCAGATTTAACAGACTATTGTGTCTGTCATGGTTGTTTGTTTCCCTCTAAATTCCTGACTCACACTTTTCTGGTAGGGCTGTAGCAGGAGGTTAAGCAGCCACTCTAGTGTGTGCCAGGGCTGGATTGAGCTGTCAGTGCAGCAGTCAGTAAGCTGAAGGGCTTCGAGGCAGACAGACTGTCCCCAAGCAGCAAAGCGAGACGCTCATTATTCCATCATGGTGACGCCAGGGACCAATCACTAAGATAGCTTATGTGACCTGAGCCCTAGAGCTGGCCACTACACAGCAGAAGCACTAATGAATGGGCACACAGGCAAACCACACTTTGATTACACTATTATGCAATGTATAGTGAAACTGTACAGTAATGTGAATCAAGATCTGATAAAACAACTGATAGTTCTGAAGTTCTATTCCAAAACTCTGAATGACACAACTTACAAGCAATGTCTTACTTCTGAGTTTTATAATTGAGTAGGAAATAAACTATGTGCAATTGACCTATCCATGCTTTGCCTGCAAATGTGCTTTTTTGGGGGTAGCAATTGCTAGAATTATAGATTGTTGGTAAACATCTCATTGAATCTAACATCTCATTCAATCTAATGAGACATTGTACAGCATTGATTACAAAACGTTTACTTTGTACACTGGTGAAAGATCATACTGTTAGAGGAGATTGGGCATTATTTGTTGTGCAATCAAGCTAATGTATGTATGGGGGCAAATTCAGTGTTGTTGTTTCCAACCTGGATATTTTCACTAGCTACAGCAAAACAGTCCAGCTAGGCAGTGCAACACTTTAAACTGGAAAATCATGCAGCAACTCTAAACAAAGAGTGGTGCAATGTCTCATTAGGTTGAATGGGACTTTTGCCAGTGTTCTGTAAAACTTTTCCAACTTGGCAAAGGGAGCTACAGAAAAACTTGTTTGTTTAAGTATAGATAGATCAATTCATTTCAATTCAATTTTACTTACAGCCATTTGCAAAAGTTTAAACTCATCTGACAGATTACATATGTTTAAGTGAAAATAAGTGAACACATTCTCTCCAGGGAACAAGCATGAATATGGCATTTCCTGCAAATTTTAGTAAGAATTCTACTTTTGTGGTGAGATTACCATACTGGAAAAAATAAAACATAAATTGTGCCACAACTTTTTCACAGGCTATGTGTTCTCTGTAGAGGATGAGTTAACTTATTTTCACTTAGAAAACCAACAAAAACATGTCAGGGGTGCCCAAATCTTTGCATACAACAGTATACAGTGCAACTGACATTGTCACAGAGCAGCTTTACAATCAAGCCCCTAATATGCAAGCATAAAGATGACTAAGTTGAGTTGTCTGTACTCCTTATTTAGTTGAGTGACATGCAGTCTACCTGCATGTCAGATGTAGATAAGAAGTTTCACTGGATGAGTTTCAAGAGGCAGGGGTTACAAAATAGAAAATGCAGGCAAATCTGTCGACCAGTCATCAACAAAGGCAGATGAAAGTCAAAAATCAGAGGTACCAATGAGCATACTTGGAAACATAGTGTAGAATTGCATGAAAGTCATCCGCCAAGAACAGAAGACAGTAAAAAGACAATATTGATATTAAGTATTTTCTTTAAGCAGAAAAGTGAATAAACATTAGTGGTATAAAACTAGAAGTATTACTATGCAAATGAACATGTAGGAACTTCTTTTCCTTCCACTCTCTCCCTCTGCTTCTCACACTCGTAGGCACATTCAGCCTCATCAGACTGTGGGAGAGTTATTTCCCTAAACAGTCAGACTATGTGGCAATTTATTCGACACTAATGCTAAGGTTTTCAAAAATGTTTACCATATTTTTACTGGTTTTCACTGTAGAAATAACAATGAATTCCCCTTTTAAAGTGTACAAGGACGCTTTTAAAAATAATAATATCAATATTGGTATCAGGATATTAGCCATGGAATTATATGGCATCGGACTGAAAAGAAAATTAGTGGTATCGATCGTCCCTTAAACAAACACAGCGATCAGCAGGTCAGAGATAATGTAGGCGCAGAGCTGAAATACTCCAAGAAGATCCAGGAGGCTGCTGTGATTTTCAGTTACAGAATCATAAGACCAAAGCATTTGTTTTGAATAAGTGAATTAGTGAGTGAGTGAGTGAGGGAGGGAGTGAATGGGTGAGGGAGTGAATGGGTGGGTGAGTAAATGAGCAAGCTAGCCTGTGAGTGAGTGAATAAGTGAGTGAGTGAGGAAGGGGTTGGGTGAGTGAGTGAATGAGCAAGTGTGTAAATAAATGAGTGAGTGAATGAATGAGTAAGTGGGTGAGTGAGTGAGTGAGTGAGTGAGCAGGCATGTGAGTGGGTGAGTAAATGAGTGGATTAATGAATAAGTGGGTTAGTGAGTAAATAAATGAGTGATTGAGCGGGTTAGCGAGTGAGTGATTGAATGAATGAATAAGTGAGTGAATGAGTGAACAAGCGAGTGAGTGAGTAAGTGAGTGAGTGAACGTGAGAGTGAGTGAAAGGCAGCTTCACACTTAAAAATACAAGCTAACTAGTTTGTGAAGAAATTTCAGTGGATATGTAGAAGGGCTGGGTATGTTCAGTCAGTGGGCTGATGCAGAATCTTAAATGAATGCCTCCTTCTCTCATGCAAATGCTTTCTGTTTTTATAATGAAGACCAAGATTGTCTTTCTTACTAAAGTGCCTCTCATTTTCAGGCTCACATTAATTCCTCTCTTTCCCTGCTCTTTTCTTTCTGGCCTCAGGGAGAACTATAGAGAGTTAAGCATTAATGTGATGTAATTTTAAGAACTGTCAAACCACGATATTGCCTTGGATGAATTAAAGGAACAAGCAAGAGCTTTTGACATGGTTCACAAGATATTTCCATTTCTCCGCAGTGCATTGAGCTACTGTTTCCCAGCACAACCCTGATGCTGCTAATCTTGCAGTTTTAGGCAGTGGGAGCTTGAAAATGGAAAATAGTGCGTTGTGCTACCGCTCAAAGAGGCACAAAGACACCAGTTGTTCTATGCAGTGACTCGGGGATATCTTTGACAGGGGCCCATTTTAGCTAGTGTTTTATTTTCTGTCTGAGAGACATAGTTTCCTCTGTGACACTGTCTGACCACAAAGTCTCATCTTTCTGACCACTAAGTCTCATCTCACCATCGATCGCTATTTAATCTGGACAGGAGCCGTCACACTCCATATTTCACCCCACAAGTGTAAGAGCACAGAGTCACTCTTGGCACAGTTCAAAGACCTTCTATCAGATCACTTCAGCTCCAACACATTGGATGAACTTATACATACAGAGCAGTCAGAAAATGAATGCTGTATAGTGTCAGTGAGCTGACTGCATTAGCTACCCTTCAATGAAAAAGTCAAATTGTTGCTGCCCAAAGAAAATCCTGTATCTCAATTATTGTTTCTTTATTTTCCAACATCATTTGAGCAAAGCAGCTGTGCTTTACATTGTGTGAGAGTTGCATGATGATTGGACCAATGCAAATTCTCCAAAATAACATGGAATAAAACCTTTTTACATTAACTTACATTAAAATGACTAAGAAGGCTTTTGCCTTCTCCTCTGCCTTCACCTGTAAAGTTATTATTTTTGAGAACTGTGTTTCTTTTGAATAGAGACAATATACACAGATAAAGTTGGCACTGAAAAAAGACAATCACAAAAACTAGAAAAAACATACTGAAAATGAGATGTAAATGATTATATATTGAAAATGCAAATGCTTATGTTAAGTAAAACAAACAAACAGACAAACAAATAAACAAACAAATAAAACTGCCAGTGGCATAAGCAAAATTTAAGATTTCTTGAAATAAGCCATAATGTCTGGTTCTTCACATCAACCTATTTTTAACTAATAATAAAATATGTAACCATATAATTTTTCATTTTAGTGTGTGAAATATTCATCAAAGATTCAGTTTTCATACAAAATAACAACAAACCATTTCTTTCATTCAAGCCTCTTGTCAAGACTATATTGCTAGTAATCTGAGACTCAAAATGGTCATATTTGAATTCTGTCCTTCAAAGTCTGTCAAATAACAAATGCCATCTCAATAACCTGATCCGTGAAGTTAGACAAAGAAGTGGCTGTTTCTCGAAACAAGTGAAAAAACCATTGACACAATAATCATAATAAGCTGATGAGTGACTTGTTTTGTGCTATAAATGACTTAAAATAAGGCAAATGTTCGCAGTTGGGCTGTTAAAGGTAACTGTTTTTAACATAAACAAAATAATCTAATATTCTCAGTGCTTTGTAAGGCAACTTATTAGAAAAAAATGGCCTCGCTATGAGATAATTACACTTGGTTCTTCAAAGGGTTCTTTTAGTAAAGACAGGTTCTATATAGAAACATAAACACTCAAAGAACTATTTACATACTTAATTGTTCTGTGTATTGTGGAATGGTCCTTTAGATTGATGGAGAATGTGTTATATATGGATCTATATAGAACCTTCTTGAAAATGTTTGTCAAGCTTGCAACAATAGAAGAACCTTTCTTGGTGCTGTATAACACATTCTCCATCAATCTGAAAAACAATTTCTTGATGCAATGAACGCTTTAAGCATGCCAGTGGTTCTTTGAGTGTTCATAAGTATATAGAACCATTGTCTTTACTAAAGAACCATCTTTTTAACCATCTCTTTGAGAGTGTAGGATTTATTTTTTTGCAGAGTGGCATTCAGATGATGTTTGATTGGCATTAGGTGGCCAAGAAAACATTTCCTACACCATTACAACACCACTGCACGCATGAACTGTTAACACAATGCAGGTTTGGTCCATAGATTCTGGCTGTTAGGCCAAATTCTGACCCTTCTATCTGCATGTCACAGCAGAAATCGAGATTCATGAGACCAGGTGACATTTTTCCAATTTTCAGCTCAGTCCAGTTTGGGTGAGCATGTGTCTACTTGGCTGACAGAAGGAACCCAATGTGGTCTTTTGCTGTTGTAGCCCATCCACCTCATGGATTGATGTGTTGTGTGTTCAGAGATGAGTTTCTGATCACTACTGCTGCAACAAGTGGTTATTCAAGTTACTGTATCTTTCCTGTCACCTGGAAAAAGTCTAGCCATCCTCCTCTGAACTCTCTCATTAACATGGTGTTTCTCCCCACAGAATTGCCACTCACTGGATGTTTTCTGTGTAAACTCTAGAGATGCACGGCTACAACATGAATGGCTAATTGGATAATTTCATAACTGAGTAAGTGTGCAGGTGAATTAAGGGCATTCAATGCATCTCCTGTTCCAGTATTTATACAGCTCCCTACAATAATTTCACGGAATGTAAAGCAAAGAATGTGCAGTTAACTTTGCAGCAAGCTGTACCACCCCTGACTCCACAGCGATACGGCAGAGATTAAAGTTTTCGCTCTCTTCTCAACACTGCGCTACACAGGCACAGTGGGGATGGTGGAGTTGTACGTGAGAGTGCATACAAATCAACCTTCATCCACGCTATACCACATCCTGCAAGAGAAGGAGATTGAGCTTCGCTAGGAGTCTTCCCCGAGCTCTGATGACTCAGCAGAAGCAGCCTTTGCTACTTTCTCATTTACAGTAGAATCACGACAGAGGTATAGTAATAACATATTCAGCTGGAGAAAGTAGCACTGATGCCCCCAACAGAGAACAAAGGCTTATTAATGGTTTGTAATTAGATGCAACAGGTAACTGTGTGCACATATAATCATATAATGGAAACATTACACTTTATCATGTCTGTATATAACCTTCATCACCGACACCTTCTGCTTTAGTTATGCAACTGATTGTGTGTTCCTGCCTCTATATATGCTTCATTAGCACATGCAAATCCAGACCCATAGCAGAGAGCTGCTGAATTGAGGAGCGAAGCTCCAGAGCAGAGTGGCTTAAACTTATGCAGAGGTGTATTTGTAGTGGCAGCCTAAGATCAATGTGTTTACAGTGACCATAAAGTGCTCGCTTCAACTGAAACATCCATCATCCACCCCAATCTCAGTGTACCCACCTACTTCACAATGACCAAGCAAAAGTTCCAAGAAGTTCCAGCTCTCTGTATTTTAAACTATGGGACATCAAGAGAAGAAGCATTCGAATTCAAAAGGTAGTGGTGGAAAAGCCTGAGTATAGTTAAAAGGTGGAAATACTGTAGCCTGAAAAATCTGGACAATTGGATTATGGATGTACTAGAAAAGTGTGAAAAAAGGGAAAGACAGCAAAAGCTTACAGGTTACATCCTTAAAATTCTTGGCTTGAATGTACAGTTCTAGGAATACAACTTTAATTAGTATAGACCCTGTACAGTATGTGGAAGTTCTTTACAGTTCTTCACAAATTTTGTTCTTTAAAGATATCATTCACTTAAAGGTTCTTTAGACAACAGAAATGGACTGTCTTGCTCCAGAGAACCCCGGTTCCATTTGGTCTTTGTTTTTAAGGGGTGTGTGTTACATTCAAGGTTTAATAATGAAGAGTGCTATGTTAAAGGGCCCATATCATGGAAAACTGATCATTTTTCACTTCCTTTCTTAAATAAAAGAGTTTGAAAACAGTAACAAAAACAGTGTTGTTAATTCTAAGGCATAAAGAGAGGATGAAAAATGGAATTATGACTATTTTGGTACATAAGCCACACATAACTTTAAGTTCAAATGTTATGTTATAATGAGTTATGGTAAGGTATGATGAATTATGGTATGTTTAAATATTATGAGTTAAGTTAAAGTATAATTGGTTGTGTTAAGGTGTGATGACTTATGATATGTTAAGATATAATTAGTTATTTTAAAGTATAATAAGTTACATTAAGGTATACTGAGTCATGGTATGTTAAAGTATAATGTGTTATGTTAAGGTATAATGAGTTACGGTATGTTCGCATAATGAGTTATGTTAAGATTTAATGAGCTATGGTATGTATAGTAAGTATGATTTAAAATGAGTGTGTGCAGTGTAATCTTCAGGTGTTCCGGTGCTGCCTCACCTCTGTTAGCTGTGCTCCACGGCTGGTACCCGTAGTAGCCTGTGATCCTGAGGATGCGCTCCTCGATGGACGCATTATTGATGTCTTCCACAGACCGGGAACACTTGACTTCCTCCTTTATTTCTTCATCAACGACAAGGGACTTGAGCTGTCGGAGTTGGGGGCTGATATCTGACAGGCGACGTGGACTCATGTGGGGAGATTTCTGCATTCCTCTGAAAAGAAAGAAGAGAAGGAGAGTGGGGAAGCTGCAGAAAAACACACAAGAGCTCTGCACTGAGCTGGAGAAGTCCCCCTCCCTCCCTTTCTCCTGCACAATTTCAGCACACGACTCTCTCTTTCTGCTCTCACACATTTGGCTACAGAAACCCACTCATCCGTCAAAGCTGAATACGAGGCAAGAAATGAACGGGCCAGACAACTCACTCTAAGACTGATAAGTTTCTTTTCATTTCACACACCAGTGAGCCCATTTGAAGTATTTTTCGTCATGTAATCTCACCCTACAGCAAGTATCTGTCACCTTATATGGTCTTTATATTGCTTAACAATATTCATTAGGATCTAAAGATTTGTCTCTTTCTATCACTTACAGCAAGTGTCTTGACTTTCTTGATGTAGTTGGAGGCATATACATGGCCAAGCCAGTGACCTTTCTCCTTAACCAACAGACCAGATGTTTACACTGTTCAGTAAAGCTTGTTCTGGCAACAGTTCCTATGATAGAATGCATTTGTGGGTAAAGCACTGAGAAGTCAGTTCAGTTCAGTTATACTTATATCTTATTTGTATGTCTTACAACAAACATTGCTACAGAGCAGCTTTACAGGCCTCCAGGTTTGGACCCCTGAGCACCACCAAAGGCAACAGCCTCAGGAAAAACTCCTTAAGACCATGAGAAGCAGGAAGCGGAACCAAAATTCAAAAGGAAAAACCCATTCTCCTCTGGGAGGCCCTGATTACATGAGTCAAAAGGGCAATAACCATTCACCCTGCTGCTTTATCTGTGGATAGCTTGTGGGCTAGGGTGGGCAATAGATTATAAGAAAGCCTATAGCTCCTTTAAACCAAAAACACAGTCTCTACAGTAGCTGCTTAGCAGGCAGGGACCACCTGGGACATGTAGCTATAAATCACTGGTCACACACAGCTTAATCCCCAGTGCAGAATTAACACCTACAGTGGTAAATTATTCGTTTCCAGTGGGACTTATATAAACATTCCGGGGGTCATTCAGCACTGCAGGTGTTAACTCAACACTGGAGATTTTGCTGTGCACAAAAGCTTCTGAGATGACATGCTGGTTCGAATACAGCATGTGTATGAATATCATTTCCTCCAAGGAGAAGATCTATTAAAAAGGATAAGCTATTTCAGCGAAATGTAGCGTATCGAATACATTACATACACACTGAAACAAAGACACTTTTTTAAAAAATGAAAATCAAATGGACATGTGTAAACTGCGCAAAAGGCTTTCAAGCATTGTTTAAAACAATTTTTAACCATTTATCTGGTCAATAAATGGTTAAAATCTGGTCCTGATCTGATCTATCTGGTCCTCTCTTTCTTAAAGATAAAAGTCTTAAGTATGTTTATCTGATGGTAACCATTTTGGTGGTCTACCAGGTCTTGCACGGTTGTTAGGAGTCCCATATACCTTTTAATAACTTTTTGAAAGTAGTTTCGGAAACTCTATTTGTTTTCACTTCTTTTCCTTTGACTTTTCCTTTCATTATATTCATTTATTTTATTTCATTGTATGTATTCCTCAAAAATATATCTTGCAAAATTAATGTGTTGTACTTCATGGCTGTTTTGACTGAAATTAAAAATATGAAGTCTGGTCTTTGACTTTTGCCATGTCTGGGAGGTTTTGTGAAGATAGTGATGACATGCAAGTCTCTGTCCTTTGACTGGTATCAAGTCTAGGTACATTGTGTAAAGCGGAGCTTAAGGAGTTAAAGCTATAGCAGTGTTTTTGTGTGCCTCTAGTAATACTGTATCAGGGCTTTTTACTGGACAGGTAGACTGCAGAGTGTGCAGCAGCCAAGCACAGCCCCTCTCTCTGCCTCAGTAGAGCTGCCTGGGAACAAAGCGGAATTGGCCATGGAGAGACGGGGAGGACAGAAAGAAATCAATAAGGCAACACAGGGTCTCTTCATCTTACTGTCCCAATCTCAGACTCAATCTGCCCTGTCTGAACTCTGAGCATCCTAAAATAGATTGTTTATGATACTTCACGGAGTTGCAGAATCAGCACCTTAGCTATCATATATCTTCCTATAGTTTGTCTTGGTCCTACTTATCCACTAATAAAACATAGACTACAGGTCAAAAGCTTGAGTACACTTGCTTAAACCAATTTGTGATTGTCTATTCTTATAGATTTATTCTTATAATCTGCAATTTCTAGTCTGAAGCCCAATCTCACTAACTCAAACTGACTCAAAACATGTGAGTGCTTTTCTGCTTAAACTTAGAAACTGCTTCAAACATGATGCATTCGGTTAAGGCAAAGAGTGCCGATTTTAAAGAATCTGTGAATCAGATTTCTTGAATATGTGATACTTTTTTGTCTTTTCAAAAAGCTAAAAATCATTGTCCACAGTAAAGCACTGCCAGCTATGACAAAAAAAGTCTAGAATGCATATATGCTTACCATATGATTTATAACTCAGAAGGTCCATATGCACTCGAATGACCAGTTTTCAATTTGTTCTCATTTAAAATCACTAGATTTTAGTTTAACATTCGAGTCGTATTTGCAAATGAACACACTTTGTTGTTGCATTGTTATCAAGACAATTCCATTAATATCAGTGCCTATCCAGGCGCAAGGAAAGAATCATGCAGGCTTAGTGAGTGGTCTTTAATTTCAAACCGGTCAGAAAACTTTTTGATGAATCAAAAGTCTATGATCATAGTGGTTCCTCAATTAACTGCATGTTTTCTCAGGTGAAAATAATGGCTCAGGTATAAGAAGATTAAACTCTTTACCTGTCTGTGTGTGGCCGCAGCTGGACAGAAGATGTTGTAGTCATATCCCCTCTCTGCATTGCGCCGGCACATCATGCGTGGGGATCTTGTCCCTGCAGTGTGGCAGCATTGCCGTCCACAACCAGGTTTTGAAAGATGGCTAGTAGTGGGGGGTGTGGGATGGTGCGTGTGTGTGTGTGTGTCTGGAATGAGGGACGGGGGGGCTGGACATAGAGGGTTGGCATCCATCGATCACGAAGAACCTTCTCCACCTACTGCAAGCCTCAGTAAAGAGACCTGTGCTTAGTCAAGCAAAACCCCTGCCAGTGCCCGTCAATAAGCAGCTGGACACCTTCAGATGGAGAACACCATGGGGATAGATGATCAGCTTCACTCTGCATATGCTTAGCTCCATTGACACTGAGGACCTGGCATGCACACTATCAAGGCCTGATAGCGGTGTGCTAGACTGCCTAAAATATACTGAGGGCTGGCGAGAGGAAGTTTAATGGGAAAGTCACTGGAGAGAACTGCAGGAACACCCATATGGTAGATATTAGCATGTATATTAGCATTCAGCAAGGACGAAGCAAAGTAAACAGGAGCGCAAACAATCATGATCAGTATTTTCATTAGCAGTCATTGGAGAAGAGGAGGGGATCTCCTTCAGTTTAGTCCTTGCTCATTCCTACCTGTGAGTTACAGTACTGTGCAAAAGTCAGAGATCATCCATCTTTTGTTATATAAGGTAATCCACTTGAATAAGGAAATGAAAGGACAGAGGGAAAAAGTGTCAATAGGAGTTTCTGAAACAGTAATCCAAGATTTCAGGAGAAATTAAGTTCCATTCTTCAAATCTAAAAACAATCCATAGGTGTTTCTGTCCATTCTTCCACTGTGAGAAGATACCTTAAAGCTATGGGCCTGAGAGGATGTGTAGCTGTTACTAAGAAAAAGAAATAGATCAAACAGAAAGAACGTTTGCACTAGAACTCTGAAACTGGACACCTACGATTGGAGTGAGGTTTTATGGACTGATTGATGTAAATTTGCAGTTGATATTATTTATATCATGAGCAGTAGAAAACGCAACCAACTTCTAAGACTGAACTTTGGGGGTATGGTAAATATCATTGCCGTATTCTTTGAAAAACTGAAAGCAAGTCTCGTGAAAAGAATGGAAGCTCTAATACAGGCAAAGCGTGGTCACACTAAATACTGAAAAATACACTGATATTATATTTATTTGTTGAAGCTTCTGTGTAGTTTTCTGTTAAATAAGTATTCTTTTTTCCTGAAGTTCAAAAAGTAACAACTTGTACTTAATAGCAGTTTTGACCAGAAATTAAATAAATGAAAATGTGGTCTCTGACTTTTACACAGTGCTGTTGGTCTCCCACTATCACCCACTGTGGGACACTTTTAAAGAAATGCATTTCTTTACAAGCCTTGAAGTTTCTTCTGAAAATAATATGAGCAAAATTTGGAGCTGTAGTCTCCATTGTTAACACTGTATAACCTGGGCTCACTTTCAGCACAGCTATTAGAAGAACACATCATATCAACTTCCTCCCAGCAGTGTAAACATCTCTGTTAACAGCACTCAGCGGGTACACTGATAGACTGTCAACGTATTGCACAGCTGCAGAGTGACAAGGCCTCAGTGACCCAGCCGTCCACCCAAACACCAGCATGTAGCCTAGCAGCGGACTCACTGTCAGCACTGCAGAGTGGCCACACTGGGGCAGCACCGAGCTGTTTGCGCAAGCCTGACCTGAGAGTCATGAGTGTGAGTACAGACCTTGCACAATAACGTTTTTGAGAAATTTCTCCTTTGTAATATTTCTGCATACTTCAATTGTTAAGATGTAAACAAAGTCACAGTCATGGTTTGATGTGAAATGCTCTATTCAGAGTTTCAGAACTGTTCAGAGTCAGAATGGTGGGAATCCAAAGTTTGAAAAGTCTAATGCAGTGGTTCTCAAACTGGGCCTGAAGGGCCACCTGACCTGGGGAGCCTTGAGGACCAGTGGCGAACTCAGGCTATTTAAAGGGCAGGGGCGAAAAAATAAAAAGGGCACCTACTGCACGACATGGGGCCCCACCAAAAAGCTATGATTCATTGTGTATGATGAAATAGTCTTCATCCTTGATTAACATTATATTATTAGGTGATCTACATTACACAAGGAACTATAAACCTTTAAAATGTTTGTTTCACACTTCTGATGTAGAACAGAGAGGGAACTATTAACATTTGCTTCACAAACACACACATACAAGCAGACATGATAATGTCAATGAGAAAACTATAATTTAGGAGCATGGTAGTCAGAAGTACTCACTCTTAAATTAATTGAAAATGCAATTCACACCTAATTTTTATCGGCATTTTGTAAAAAAAAGCGAAAGATTTCTTCACTACTGCTTGATTTCCAAATTGAGTCCACAGGTTATCATAGAATCAGCTAAGCAAGGTATCTATTTAGTTCGATTAACTCCTCTGTTAGTTAGGAATCTAGACTAAAATTGTGATACGGCTATCTTTAAAAGCACTTGCTGTGTATGTACACCAGTGTTTAGTAACGCATCAATGGTAAAACACAATCTTTTCAGTCTCAAAGAAAGCTTGCTCTATTTACTCCCTCACACACTGAAGGATGTCAGGGTTACAGCTCAGACTGTATTGAGCCCCGTCTGACTTCTGAACATTCTAGAGGGGGTGTGGCTAAAACTAGCATCTTAAATGGATGAAATAGATGTAAGTTTTTTAACATTTTTTGTCATTGTTGGCAACAATTTCCTTTGCATTGTACTAGCAAATTCAGTTAACAGTCACAGGGTACATTGAAAATTAAAAAAACAGGGACAGTGCAGATGAGATCACATCAAAATGCTACCTAGATATTAGCCTAACTTATCGGCCCCTTGCAAAACTGCTGAAAAGATACTTTTCAAAGTATTTGGCAGCACCCCTAGACTGTCGACACGGCACCCAATTTCGCAAAGCCTGCCCTAGAGGGCATGTTGTAGGGGAGACTGTAGGGCACTGCATCTCATTTTCTTCACTGTGATTGTTTTCTCTCCATTGCAGGAGCACTTCATTGTGTTTTCTCACTTGGAAGGTGTCTACGAGGGCACTTCATGAGTTTTCCAACAGAAAGGTACCTGTAGGGAACATCAAGTTTGTCCCATTGTGAGGGCACCTATATAGCACCACATCACATTTTATTCACTGGAGGGGCACCCTTTAGGACACTGTCATGTAGGGATGGCATAGAGGGCCCATCATAATGACACCCTTTTCCATTGGAAGAGCAATCATGGGTAACATCAAGTTTAGACTCTTGTAAGGGCACCACATCACATTTTCTCCACTAGAAGGGCACTCATTAAGACACGTTATTGAATTTTCTTGCTCTAGAGGGCACATCAGCATGATTTCTTGCATGAAGGGGCATCCTAGGGGGCACTCAGTCAGTTTTTTCTCATGTAAAGGGCATCCAGTAGCACACTTCCTCTCATTTCTGCCTCTCTGGAGGGCTCTTTAACAACGCTTTTTCCAACCATGGGGGCACCAAGTGGGGTGAAAAGTGCATTTTCTTGAGACGAATGCAGACCGATTGTGCAGCTTAAGCAGTTCAGAGATGAAAAATTGGTGAAATTCAAATTATTTATAGCTCTAGTGCCCTCATCTGAAGTGTAGTCCTAGATTCAATATTGGCAATTCTACTGCACTAATGAAGGTTTTAAATTTTAGCATGTTTAACCCCTTAAACTCTATGTTTATTATTTAGTTATTAATTATAAAATGTACTATAAATTATTGAGTATTACGGATATGTAAGTCATGTAGTTATGAGAGTGAGGCCCTGAAGTGTGGGTTCACATACAGATATTTCTGTCTGTACAGATAATCACCGACAAATTGTCAAACACAAAATTATAAAGTCATTTTTTATTATCATTCTTTAAGACAATGTCTTAAAGCTTACAATTTCAGTAAATACTGAATATGAGCTATCAGTAATGATTGCACATGAGCAGGAAATTGGAATAAATCCAGTGTTTAAATAGTGACCTATTTAATGTTGGTAAAAACTTCACAAGTTGCTCATAGGGGTTGTACTATGCCTTCCATTGCTGTTGACAATACAGATTAAAACATTCGAGCAGGCGTAATCATCCTTTCCCACTTGATCATCATAAACAGGGGCTCTGGTGATGTTGGCACGATGAAAGCTTTTCACTTGTCACTAGTCACTGTAGATTCAGTAAAGTCATTTCCATTTCTTTTGTGGGAGAACATGGCACTTCAATGAAACTGCCAGTGTGCCTTTAAAGAATCAGGTCCCTATAATTCAATGCACAACAGCGTCCTTGTGTGGACAACTACATTAACTGCAGCATGTATAGCATGATGCATCAATTATCAGTTAAGGCAATTCAATTGACAATCTATGAACAAAACATAAAAATGTTTAAATAATGAGTCATATAAGGGTCCTGAAAGGTTCTGCACCTAAATTTTAAATATCTTATATTATCTATTTAAGGCAATTTCAAGAATACACATTTAAACAGCTCTATTGCATAACGTCAGTAAGGACCTGTCCCTATTTCCTCAGAAAATCACTGAATAAACATTCATTTACACACTTCATCACACTAAAGTATATGCATACTTAAACTCAACTTGCAGCACAGTTCATGTAAACATGAAATAAGTTTATAATATTTACAGTAATACAGGAAAGAAGTGATTGAGGTACACTTACAGTCTCACATTCCTGGAATGATTTAGTGAGTCAGTGATTGCTCAGTGACATTTTCCAATTTTCTTCCCTTTTAAACAGTTCATTACAAAGAATCCCTGAAGATACTCTACTATCTCCGGCAACTGTTCAGTACATGTGCTTTAAATGTCAAGGACAATTTGAACTGTTCAGATAATAAAAATAAAACAATTTCAAGCCTTCATTTCCCTTACAATAAATTATGTACAACTATGATAATTATACTAAAACTACCATTATCATTGCTCCCTTTTATATATGTTGGTGTTAAGTCTAACCTGTACTTCAAGCACAGTTATCTAATTTCTCAGTTTATTTGCCACTGCTGTTAAGAATTAAATTTAAAGATATTGATATTTATTTTTTTGTATTTACGTCTACATCTATACTGATTGGAAGCACCTGGTCACTGCCTCTAAAAATCTATCTAAATCTATGTGCTCTGAAGGAATCTCATCTGACCACAGGCCCATCATTGGCTGCTATGGGGAAGGCGTCAGTGATGAGATCAGTCTTATACTCTCTGAATGAAGCTGCCTGATCAGACACAGAGGAGAAGGACAGGTGATCGTGGTCTATGATATTCAGTCGGTCTTCAGTTCTCTCTTTCTTTAGATAGAACATCTTCCTTAGTTTCTTCAACTGCTGAAGCTCACAGAATGTCTCCAAAACCACCAGCATGGCAATGAGGCCCAGTAGCAGGTAGACTGGAAGGGAAAGACAGATACACAAAGCTCAGGTATTTGGCTTACAAGTCACTCACTTTCCAGTTTTTAACAAATTTTACATTTTCATCCCTTTAATACATTGTAGGGGTGTGAAATGCATGTATTGCATTGTGATGCATCATGCAAAAGGTAGTGAGACCTGTGTCTTTACTTATTTTCACTTAAATCAACAAAACAATTGGCTAGGGGTATTAAAATTTTTTGGATACGACTGTATTTCATACACTGATGTTTAGCAACTATTTTTGATGTACTGATCTTGTCTGTTCACTTGATAAAGGGAACCTAGAACAAATGACAAAGTATGATTAAGCAGAATGAAGCTGTCCTCAGGGCTCGAGGACCTATAAAATGCTGATAAACTCTACACTGTCAAAAATACCAACAATTTAGGCAAAAGAGCTTCCATTAAAAAACATCATGCAAAAGTCTCTAACCGATTAATGAAACCGCGCAATTTATGGATACGTTTTTTGAAGTTTTTCCTAACAGATTCACAATCATATATTAGATGTTGAGTTTAACTGCTTACAGACTGACAAAACTGAGCTAAAAAATTAACTGGTAATAAGTTATTTGCTGTCCAAAAAAAAGCCCTCCAAAATAGTAACTTTGAGGAAGAAGGCAAAAATGTTCTAAACCTTTAAACTTTCTAAATGCAACCTAATGCAAAAAGATTTTATCGCTAGTAATTTTGCATTCATCATGATTTTTTTACACAACGTAAAGGACAGTGCTGTGTTCAAATGATGTAGCAAAATAAAACTTAAAAAATTGGAGATTATTTCTTGGACAGCAACGAAATACATGTTTCATTTTTGTGTATATTAGAACAATGTGTGAACAGCTTCCTTACATTTGTCACATTTGTGTAATCTTCTAAACATTAGAAAAATGAGCAAAATGAGTCACAGTGAAATCTGAGACTTGCACTGAACTGTTTCCTAAAGAATTTTAAACAAATCAAAGGTCAGAGATTTACACCCCTTTTACACTGATTTCACACCTACCAGTTATGCCAACTTTATAGAGCTGCCTGAACTTCTGGTTGTAGCCCTCTCCTGGCACATAGTCGCCCAGGCCGATGGTACTAAGTGAGATGAAGCAGAAGTAAAAAGACTCTAGGAAGTTCCAGTCTTCCTCCAGCACACTGAACACAATGGCAGGGATGAGGAAGAAGCATGACATTGTAATAATGGCCAGCACACCAGCATGTACACCTGCAACCAAAGACTTGGACAGAGCCCAGCGGCGCTGCACATAGTCCACAGGCCGGCGAGTACTAAACACCATGATCCTCTGCACCACTGCTGTCAGGAATAGGAGGGTGAATGGAATGCCCACCACTGAGTACAGGATACAGAAAGCCTTACCCTCATCTGACAGAGGCACTGTGTGGCCATAACCTATCAACAAAAAGAAAATCATGGAGTCAGTGAGGTCATTTTTTATATTATGTACACAATTGTGTATTTCATGTATCAAATACAGTGCTTTAGAGATCTGGAAAAAAGTTGGGACAGTATGTGAAATGCAAATGTAAACAGAAAGCAGTGATGATTTGTAAATCCACTATGACCTTTGTATTTAAATGAAAAAGTACAAATGACAAGATATTTAATGCTTAATTCTTTGTGAATAAATGCTCATTTTGAAATTGATGCCTGCAACACGTTCCAGAAAAGATGGGACAGAGGCAAATTAAGACTATAAACATTGTGAAATGTTTAGAAAACATCTCAAACAGTTGATGTCATTATTCTTGGGTATTAAAGGTGCACCAAAGCCTGCCACCTTGCCAAAAATGTGTCAGTGAATAAAGATTAAGAACAATTTTCCTCAATAGTATTTTAGGTATTTCAACCTCTATTGTGCATAACATCATCAAAATACTCAGGGACTCCTGTGCGTAAAGAGCAAGGCCGAAAACTGAATGCCTGTAACCTTCAAACCTTAGATGGCACTGCATTAAAAAGCAGCATGTTTCTGTAATGGATATCATCACAAAGGCTAGGGAATTTAAGACTATACTATATACAGCACAAGCCACTTGTCAACAATGTCCATAAAAGCCACCTACTTCTCTGGGCTCAAGCTCACCTGAAAAGGACTAATGCACTGGCCTGCCTGCCAATGAGTCTCCCAATTAAAATTTGTGGTACATTATGAAACACAAACCTCTGCTTTCAACATTTTTTAAAATCTGTGTCTTCAGTCTCTCAAATATTATTATGTGTTGTTACAAAGAAAGGTGATGTAACACAGTGGTAAACATGTTCCTGTGCCAACGTTTGTGAAATGTGTTACAGGCATCAAATAAAGTTCATAAGGAAAAACATCAAATGTTGTGTTTTTGTACTTTTATATCTTAATACAGGTCAATTAGAATTTACTATTCTTACTTTCAGTCTTTTTAGCATTTCAAGTACTGTCCCAATTTGTCCCAACTGTCACAAATTTCATGGAAAACTGAATTTTCCTTGTTAAAGTTTCAAAACATATCGTTAACTGTCCAGTCCATATGTGAAACTACGCTGCAAAAACAGCCCATTCTGAAATAGATGTTTTTATGATGTCATGAAAACCAACACATTTAAACACATGCCTATTCACCCTACAGCAGTTTAGTTGCACCCATTCACGCTAAAGTCATAAGGAATGTATCAGCCCGGACTGCTTTTTGAATGACGCACAACACAGAGCAACCAACCAGAACAGAAACTGTTTACACATATCAGTCTGAAAGACAGAGTAACAAAAAGATCCTGTTCAATTCTAACATATACAGTCAAGTTGGAAAATATGACTGTTTTGGCACATTAAATCACACAAGCATTATAAGTGCACCTTGGGGAAAAAAATGGAACACAAGAAAACTGTAGGATATGGCCCCTTCAAGACCTAATCTAAGTGATTTAGACTAATGTTCTCCAACTCTTCTTTGACCCCTTCACCAGGTGTGTCAGACTCCAGTCCTCAAGGATAGTATAATTTAGCATTCTACATCATTAAGCACTCCCAATTCAACTCATCGGCTAATTAGCAAGACCTTCAGTTGAATTTAGAGTGTCAGAAGAGGGTAAACAATAACCTGTGTAGGATTGTGTCCCTCTAGGGCTTGAGTTTTGACTGTCCCAGATCCCATCATACCTGAAGTTATCAAGAACTGAATATCTGGTTCAATTATGCTGGGGGCTGAGACGGAGCAAAAATGTGGACTGGGTTGGGAAAAAACTTAAGTCTAAGACAAACCCTAATCTGTGTGAAGAAATCTGGCTAGGTAACTAGGCGGCTGCCAGAACAGTGTGTTTATGAAGATCCTGCTCTGATCTCTATGCCGGATTAAGTTACCTAAGCCCAGGAAACACTATGCCAGCCACATGCTTGTCCTACACTCACCCTTCAACACAACTGCAAAGCTGTACACTGCTAGCATTTTACTTGCACTCACTGCTAATCATTCTGTGATAATGAAAGAAACAGTTCTCCTTCACATGCCCTGGCAGTGTATTGATCAGCAAGCCATGTGAGAGTTGACCTTGCACTGGATAGAACCTGATTTCCCTGCTGATCAATTGTGCTCTCATTATATCCTACTGGGCTTAAATGAACGCAGAAGAGGGGCCAGAAATTAAGTATTAAATAAATAACAGGAAGCTCTTTCACTAAAAACAGTGACTGTAACACTAAAACCTGTCTGAACAGAAACAGTACCACTACTATGAACTAAACAGTGAGGTCATATGGGCGTGTGTTTAAACCTTCACACAAATGCCCTCTTGATTACATAAAAAACAATCCAGTCTGGTTTAAATGTAACTGGGAACTCACTAACTTTACCTTTAAATTTGATGGTCAGGCAGAAATCTACATTAATCAGCACTGCAGCCATAAACCTGTCTAAGAATACATTAATTATTGGGTATATTTAGAGGGGAACTTCATCAATTTTTTGAAAATTCTACATAATTAAATGTTTGAGATGTAAAGAAAAAAAAGGAAAAGAAAAAAGAAAGTCAAGTGGTCTGACGTGAAATGTTCCATTCTAGAGATACTTGCTGAGTCAGAATTCTTCACAGGGGTGGTGATAGGAACCAGATGTCTGAAGAGTTTCACATGTCTGAAAGCTCCCTCATAGAAAGTTATAACAAGAAATGGCTAAATATATGCTGCCTGATGTCTGACACACTTTCTTAATGATAATCTTGTGATTATGTATGGATTTACAATGAATTTAAATCCATTCATGGAAAACATGAAAGGTGCTGTAGCACAAAATAGTCCCCAAAGAAACCTTACTTGTTCAGATTTACCACTATTTTACCATCATCAACATTACATATAAAATCTCAGAAGGCACAGGTAGGTTCACTGGTGGCATTGCATAGTAAATAAAATGGATATTTGTGTTGTAGAAATCGTAACCCCTGGTTCCTCTCACCACCACTATAAGGAAATCTGAGTCTGTAAGTTTCTCTACAGTGAACCATTTCACATCAAACCACTCTGATTGACACTGTTTATATCTAAAGTACAGACTTATTCAGAAAAAAATCGTGGAATTCTCATTTAAGCTAAGATAAATAAGGGGGAAGGGTTTTTCTTTGTTTTATGTGAATTCCTTGCCTCAGGAAACACAGTTCACTCACAGAAGAGCAGGCCCACAATCCCATTAACTTTAGTGTCCTTTCACTGTTTTTTCAGGTGAATAGAGGAGAGGACTGAGGCCTGAGTGGTGTACTGTGCACTGATGTAACGTCAATAGTCTTAAGTATTTTCACAAAGACCATGTATCTTGCGAAGGTTATCTTAACACATTAACTCCAAAACCTTGCCAAGGGCTGTTCAGGTCTGATAGGAAAAACTTCAGTCTAACACCGACAGACAGAGAAGGTCGAGCTGATGAAGTTTAGGCTCACCTGTCGTGGAGAGGACTGTACTTGCGAAAAACAAGGCCGAGGTGAAATCCCAGTTGTAGTTTTCTGAGGTATTATTCAACACTGAGACTCCGTAGTTGCTCGCCTCCAGCGCTTTAGCCAAAAATTCCTCCAGTCTCTCCTCAGACAGACACTCATTGTCCTGGAGAAACTGCCTTTTCAGAGCGCCGAGGTCCTCTCGCAGTAAGTCCTCATACGGCGATTCCACCAAGGAGAACACGACAGCGCCGAAAACCAGGTACGCAACATACACGAGCACCAGCAGGACAAAATACCACGTCGATTTGTTCCCTTCAATCACACGCATACACCAGGCTCCGGAAAGACACCGAAGCATTTTTCAGTGACCTGTCAGCGGTAAATACAAGTGACAGAATCGAGATAAAGCAGCTTTCCGGACAGCCTCAGCTTCAGGTCTCCACGCGTACAGCTATAAATACACTTTCTGTACGTCTTTACAGGCTCGTATTCTCTGCCTTTCCTTTCACTAACGCCGAGATGATGTGGGAGTGACGTCACGCGCCTCACCTCGCTCAGGTTCAAGTGTGTCTCTCTCTCTGTATCTGTGAGGACAGGGCGTGTCCGCGCTCAGCTAGCAGCTTAGCAGCATTTACTGTAAAGCTGTAGTAGCAGTAGCTCCAGCTCTTTCACTCAGGAAAAAGTTGCGTTGCCACCCACATAACACCCCGCTGATGGTTATCTAGATGATACCAATGTGCTACAACAGACTGGCTCAACTGGTTTGGCGAGGAGTGATTCCACAACTTTAGAAATGCTTTAACAAAAGCTGGAATGGGAGGGATAGCCAGCATTTTAGGGCTGTACCTTCAGACCTGTTTGGTTTCTTCCTTTTAGTCCACCTGGAATTTCATTATTCTTGCTTCCTGATTGCACCTGTAATGATGGACCCAAACCAGCTTTCACAACATTAATGCAGTTAGACTTGGCCTTTTGGATAAAAGTGAGTAATTAAGGTAAAGGAGTTTATACATTAAACTTGTTGTAACTAATATCTCTTTTATTAGAGACATAAAAAAGTGTTTTGATATACATCAGCTGTTACTCTTCAAATTTCTCCCTCTTACAAATGGATATAAATAAAATTCAAAAATTAATAGGAGTGTGACGATTCACAAAACTCAATATTCGATTTGATAAAGTGGTGTGTAGTTTTGATACATTTTTTTGATACAGTAAAAATAAGGAGTGTCTGAAAAGCAATATTTGAAATAAAAGTTGGTTTATAGTATCTCGATCTAATGCTTTAGCCACAAGCTAATATGTTAGCAAGGTAAAACTCTTATCACAAGCTAAGATGCTAGTCCTGATACAGTGATTCGATATGATGCAACATGTTACACTGTGATACAATAGGACACGTTATTTTGTTACAATGCTATAACTTATAATGGGATTGTAATTTATTTATAATGCATTTTATCCATGGTAACTGTTTTCACACAGATCCTTCAAAACGTGAAACATACATACATACATACATCATCTAAACCGCTTATCCTTCTGGGTTGCGGTGGGGTGCTGGAGCCTATCCCAGCTGTCATTGGGCGGAAGGCAGGATACACCCTGGACAGGTCGCCAGTCCATCACAGAACTTGAAACATGATATATTTATTATTTTAATTTTACAATCGTAAAATTAAACAGGTAATGCAACATTTAGGATAACGATAGATGCTAGTGGGTGGAGTGACATGACTTAACAAACAGTAGGAAGTAAAAAAAGCAAAATACTTTTTTTTGCCTTTAAAATCCTAGTCCTGCCATCCAGTCTACAGTCTGAGACTCGAGTCTCAGAGGTAAAGCACACATCTTATGCAATTATTTGCATAGACTGTTTAGAAGTTTGAAGTGTGAGATTAGGACGGATTTCTGTTTGGTTTGGCTCTGATCTCAAACTTTCTGCATCCTCTAAGCACTGAATATTTAATCTATTCCCAAACACAGTGTTTGGAAATAAAGGCCTCTTCCTCTGCGTGTGTGTGTGTGAGTGTGGTTATTATCAAAGTACACCAAGCCTACTGCTTGAGTGGCAGTCAGCCAATTCTTCTAACTCATCAACACTAGCTTCCTCTTCCGCAAGCGATGGCATGACTCCGGTACAACCCTAACTCCACCCTTTTGAAGATCAGATATGAAAACTTTCAGCTAACAGAAAGGACCTCCCACTTCAGCAAACAAGATACAGTGCTCTGCTGTGCAGAATTCCTTATAAAATCATGATGGGCAAAATTTCTCTGAGTTGACAAAACCTTCACTGTTCACTCTCTTGATAATTAGATATCTGTTCAGCAGGTAGGACTGTTATGCCCTGTTCAACAAGTAACTTACCTCAGCTATTTGGTGCCCTTATGCCTGTGTCTGATCCTCTATGTGCTGCAGCAAGCACTTTTAACCTTATAGTGTTTTCTGTATAGAAGTGCTTCTTCCATTACTAAACTGATGCCTTTATTTAGAGAAACTTGTAAAATATGCAGGCAGTAAACACAGTGATAGCAGGTTTCACAGAAATCATGAAAATAACTTAATTTGTATGCTCACTGGAAAAGGCAATTATACTAGTAAGTACAGTAAGAAGGGCCGTAACAGATTAAATACCTTAAGCATTGACTACTGCATAATTAAATCAGTAAGAGGAGTAACGCTACATGAGCGGAAATAGCTTCCACATCTCAAATTGCCAGTATAGTTTGTAAGCAACTGCTCTTCTAACATCTCTTCTGAAATTAAGGGAATTAATGGCATTGATAAGAAGTTTGTCTTCTTAGAAGGCTTTACACTAGATGTTGGAACATTGCTTTGAGGATTTATTACATTTAGCCACATGAGCATAAGTGAGGTCAGGTACTGATGTTGGATGATTAGTTCTGGATAACAAACACCACTCCAACTCATCCTAGAGGTATTGGATGGAGCTCTATCCCTCCAGGAAACACAGTTTCACTGCTCCTAAGTCAATTGCTGGAGAGCTCTGTACACTTCTGATCAAAGTTTGGCGTTAGGCATGGTGACTTTAGGCTCATGTGTGGCTACTCCAGAGCATCCAATACTATTGATAATGATTTTCTGTGGAGATTATACAAGGTGTGTGTGCCACTGAACGCTTGTGTCAGCATTGGTAAATCTTTAAGTAGCTGAATTCACTAGAAGGAGTGTCTGGATACTTTTAGACAGAAATAGTGGATCTTTCTAAAGTGATGCATGTTTGCAGTCCTTGTTAGTCTCTGTCGCCCTCTGCAGGCTAGAGGTGCCAAGGACTGGAGGGTCATGATGACTCCAAAATTTTACGTTCTTTAGCAAGTTTTATCTATTTTTATATCTATTGTAGAAATGCATCAGTATCTCAGCAATCCATTTATTTGAAGGTGGCAATCCAACTGTATTGATTTTGGTGTTTTGAAAATGATTATTGTCAACGATAGTAATGTGTTACCGCCATTTTTACATTAAAATATTTAATATATAATGTATACAATCATCTCAGACATAATACTAAGTTATATACAGTGTAGAAATGTTTGTTCTATCTTTCTTTTGGGCCATATTAAAAGTCCTCATGGTCTAACTTTGGGCAGCCTTGATCCAGTTAAGAAAATAAATAGAAATATAGACATTAAAGAGAAAGAATTAAGTGCTTTTTTTGCATTAAGTCTTGGTTGTCAGCGGTCTCTGAAGTACCCAGGTTAGCTGTTAAGTAGATTTATTTCCTATTAGTGCAGACTGGTTGTTAGGTTGTTGTCATTGGTTACAACTGTACATTTGTAACTAAATCAAAGAGCAATGTGTCAATCATGGCATGTTTACAGTAAATGATCAAGGCTGTGGCTGACAGTGATTGTAACTTTTTACAATACAGATAAATGAAAAGTTATTCTGCCATGAACTTAAATGAGGAACTGAGCATAAACATTTTAAGTTAAGGTAAAGTTTTAAGAATTGATTTTTCTTTGGCACTGTAAACAGATTTCTGTAATAATCTACCATAAAAAAACTGAAATGACAAAGGAACAGCAACTAAAATCTTAGTGAATATTCCTTGGAAAATCACACAGAAACCATAGCCATACAGGAAGCCATTTCTTAGGAAAATACTTGTTATATTTTATGTAAGGAAGTGCTGTGGTAATCCTATATTGTCTTTTAGTTTGGTAGTAGCGTAGGAATAACGCATTCATACCACAGTTCTTCAGATGTCTTGACATGAGAAAATGCCTCAAGACATCTTGTCTAACTTTGTCAAGACATCTTAAGGCACAGTTACAGCTGGGTATGTCTGTTACGACTGGGTATCCTGTCCTGTGCCACAATCCAAAAGCAGTCTGGGCTAAAACACTCCTTTTAACTTTAGTGTGAATGGGTGGGGCTAAAGTGCTGTAGGCCAAATAGATAGATATGTGTAATTGTGTTGGTTTACATTACACAAACGTTGAATTCAGCATGGAGTGTTTTTGCAGCTTAGTTTCCATATATGGACTGTATGGACTGGGAAGTGAATTGTACATTTAGAAACTGTAACAATGTTTACAAACCACATCAAACTCTTTTGTTAAAAAAGAGGAATATTTTCCATGATAGGGGCCCTTTAACACTGACGTGGCCAGAGGATAAGCCATTATACCTTTTCCACAGCACTTAGGCTCGTCTGGTAGTCAGCTGGTCTCTCTGGTGCAGTGGCACAGCTTCCTGCCCGCACTGCAGTTTACACTGCACCACCTCATGAATACAGTCTCTTAATTTTGTCTTCTGGGCAATAGCCAGTTTGGGGAGAGGTTATCCATAATAGATTATTCTGCTCTTTTGGGCTATTTCTAGATGGGAAAGGGACACATGAGATCTCTGGCCTTGTTGGAGTGAGAAGAAGCCAAGCTGCCAAGGTTATAACTGTTTTTTTCTTTTGTTGAATTCAAGTGGCCAAGGCAGGCAAATCAATTACGTTTGGTCTCTTTGCAGTATGTTTACCAAAACAACATACACTCACTAAAATGAACAATAAAAAATCATTTTGTTAGTCTAATATTTTGAAATAGTCCATACTTTGTCCATACTTCGCAGATTTAACATAGTCTGTTTAAAAATTGGAACGATTTGTGAACTAGTAATAAAACAGAAAGCAGTGATTAGTAAATTCTGTTTGGCCAGTATTAAATTAAATACAGTAAAGAAACTATAGTATTTGATGTTTTACCTCATGAACAATTGTACAGTCCACTCCAAATTTGCTGCCTACAACACATTCCAAAAATGTTGGGACAGGAGCATGTTTACCACTGTGTTACATCACCTTTCCTTTTAACAGCACTTAGTAAATGTTTGGAAACTAAAGTCACCAACTGATCCATCTTTGAAAGTAGAATTTTTTGGTATTCTTCAATTATACAAGACCTCTGCTGTGCAACCATACAGGGCCTTTGTTGTTGTATTTTGCACTTCATAATGCACCACGTTTTCCATGGGAGACATGCTGTAGTAAGAGTTACCGAGTGTGGCCTGTTGTTGTCATATTGAAATAAGCATAGACATCCCTAAAAAAGATGGTGTCTAAAAGGCAGCATATTGCTGTTGTCAGAAGAAAACCTCATTTCTCCAAAAGGATAACTTTACAGGAAAAGGAAAAAAACAACTTTACATTTAATGTAACTCAGTGGAACCAGCCTTT